CCGTGGCCTTGCAGAGGGCAGCCTGGGCTGTGGCACACGTTCCCACTGCCCCCCGCCCCCGGCACACATCCCTTCTGCCTGGTGCCATTACACCCCGTGAATACAGGGCAGGGGCAGGATGCCCACGGTGGTCGCTGGCTCTCCAGGGGACTCGGCCGCTCTGTGCCACAGCGCTGCGGGTATGTGACCAGCTCTGAGCTGTGTCTGGCTCCGGTGGTCCCACCCTCCCTGGCTGGGAACTGTACCCCGCCTCATCCCTCTTGCTGTGCTCCACCCCAGCTGGTCCCCGGGGAACTGTGATGTCCAGCAGGCTGGCACAGCCTCTTCAGAGAGACATGCAGAGACAAGTGTCACCCTTCCCCTGTGAGGAGAGCGCTGCTCCTGCCCTTCCACCTTCTAGCCAGGTCCTCTGGGTGGGAGATGTGGGTCCCAGTGTGGGGCAGGTAGTAGTGGCTCTCTAGGACCCCTGTGGTCCCACAGCCCTGCTCTGGAAGACCCTCGGGGCCAGGGCCATGCTCTCTCGCCCTCTGGCGTGTGAACGAGCTGCTCTGCATGGAAACTCTGAGCTCAGCACTGGCGCCTGCTCAAGAGCCCGTGGGAACCACAACTCTGGGCTGCCCCTGCAGCACCGCCCTGTGGCGTGAGCTCGCCCACGTTCCCTCCCTGGGGAGCAGAGCAGGGGCACACTGACACTACCCCCTCCCCATGCACCCCCAGTGAAATCCTACACCAGCAGCTCAAGCCTTTCCTCTTTAATTGAGGCTTGAATCAAAGCCACAGGTGACAGATGGGAGGAAAAGCTCAGCCGCCGGTGGTGAGATGAGACCGGGATCCTGGCACGGAGCAAGGTCCCAGCCAGCGCTGAGGGCCAGATGCTGTGGAGCTGCTGTTCCCTGGACAGCAGGGGAGCAGGGCTCGGTGCAGCAGCTGGCCCTAGGAATGTCTGGTCCCTTACTGCACACCCTCCATCATCTTCAGGAACTCTGCAAGAAAGCAGCAGCCTCAGCCCATGGCCCTGCCTGGGTGCACAACATTGGTGCTTGGCTGGGGCCATCGCTCACCATCAAAGTCGATGCGACCGTCATTGTTCTTGTCTGAGTCCTTCATCATGTCCTCTATGTCGTCATCAGTGACAGGCTCCCCAGTGGCTCTCAGGATCTCACCCAGCTCCTCAATATCAATGAACCCATCCGCATTCCTGCAGAAGGGTGAGGGAGGGATGGGACCTTACTTGCCCCCACAGACAGGATGGGTCACTTTGCCCCTACACTCACCGGTCAAAAATGCGGAAGCAGTTGGCCAGCTCCTCCTCAGACTTGCCTTTGGCATCCTCTTTCATCTGGCGCACCATCATGACCAAGAACTCCTCGAAGTCGATGGTGCCGCTGCCTGTGGGGAAGAAGCCAAGCATGGGTCAGGCTGCCTGCCCAGGGTCCAGTACCCCTCCACCAACCACCAAGGGCTGCTCACCATCCTCGTCCACCTCCTCAATGATGGCATCCAACTCCTCTTTGGTGGGGTTCTGGCCCAGCATTCTCATCACCGTCCCCAGCTCCTTGGTGCTGATGTCTCCACCGCCATCAGCATCAAACATGTCGAAGGCGGCTTTGAACTCTGTAGAGAGACAGGTCAGGTCTCCACACAATGGGACAGAGCCAGGCCTTGCACCATGGCCATGTCTGACCCCTGTCACTGCCATCCCCACACTCACCCGCAATCATCTCCTCGCTGAGGAAGGCACGGGCTTCTGCCTGCTGGTCCGTCTGCAAGGCAAGGGACAGGGGTCACTGCACCACCCATATCAGGCCACAGACCCCTCACACAGCATGGCCCAACAGGCCTGGCTGTGGGAAGAGCCTCTCCCCTGCTGCAGGATGATCCTATGCTGGCATGAGCCACAGACACCAGCAACCCCTACAGTTCTGATCCCTTCCAGGCATCCATGAACAATGTGGGCTTCAGGGAGCCATCAGCTCGAGTCTCCCACTATCTGGGAGGCTCCATTGTGCTGGGGTCATGGTCCCTTTGTACAGCCTTGGCATCCTGGGCATGCAGTGTTATTTTTGGGATCTCCTCAGCTCCCCTTGTAGGGATCGCTGGGGCTACAGCCGTGGCACCTGTCAACCCTGATCAAGTTTCTCCTGGAGGCGCAGGCCGGCCCTGGAGCCAGCAGCGATACTGTGTCGCATGACCCAGCACTCGGCTTTCAGCCACCCCCTGCCACCACTGCCTCTGTGCAGCCCTGAGCTCCAAACAGGGCTGAGATGGTGTCCCCAGGCATCTGCACTCCCTCAGCAGCCACACGGTCACCCTCAGATCTGTCCTGCAGGGACTCTGCATCACCCCAATGCTTCCCTGCCCTCACCACCATGGTCAGCCCAGCATTGGGGACCATATCCCTACTGCCCTCTGCAGAAGCACCTCCACAGCTCAAATGCCCCTGGTGCCTCCTGCCCAGTCAGGTCTTGTCCTGGCACACAGCACATAACACACAGCACACAGGAGCGCTTACCATCTTGGGAATTTATGGTGCTTCCCACCCCCAGAGAACCACCAGGTCCTGCAGCAGGAACTCCCAGAAGCTTCGTGGTGCCCCTGGCACCCCAATTTGTACTGTCTCCTCTGTGGGATGTGTCTCCAGCTACTGCCCCCTGGCCCCCTCAGCCTATCAGCGCTCTGGCAGCACCCAGCCCTTCTCATTGGCAACTGGTGCCTTTACCTAATTTAGCCAAAGCTTTATTGGCCAAGAGCTGGGATTAACGTGGGGATGAGGCTGGGATGGAAATTCAAGCCCTTCAGGAGGGAGACCGAAGCTGTGGCAGGAGCGCAGCTCTGCCCACCCCCAACACCCCCATCCAAGGCAGCTCAGCAATGAGGGGGTTAAAAATAGCCCTGGAGCCATCAGCATCACCCGGGTAAGGGGGACAAGGTCCCCCCTGCACAAGGGGCACGGGCTATCACCCACTGGCCCCTGAAAACGCAGCCTTTCCTGGGTAAAGCTCCCAATACCAAGTTGGTTTTCCCCAGTGCAGTATCCCCTCCACTTGCATCCCCATTTTCTGCTCCAGGGGGCCCAGGCAGAGCAGTGTTGAAGCCCCCTGCCCCAGATAAGGAAGGGGTCCCCAGTGGAGCCTAGGGCATGAAGTCCCTGTAGAGATTTGGACCATGAGCCCCATGGTTTGGGGTCCCCAGCACTGTTGGCATCAGGTTCCGGAAATGGCTCCATCTTTTCGTGCTTCTGAGGAGTGGGAATTATGCCCGGTGCCTCCTTGAAGGCTCAATCCTCACACTCACAGCCCATGCCAGCCACTGCTGCCAGGACCGGCTGGGACTGGTGGCTCTGGGGACACACTGGCCAAGTGGCCCATGCCCTGTGGTGCTCAGCCTCAGGGCTGCAGTAAAGTCAGGGTGACAGATCCCTGTCCCACAAGGTCCCAGTGCCAGGGACACCCAGGACTTTGCTGGCTCCTGGTTTTGCCAGGACCCTCATTCACCAGGTGGGAGCTGGGAGCAAGTCCAGCCCCTAGTGCATCCCACCCTGCCCAGGGAAGCTCGGGGTCCCATCTGAGCCCGGGTGGGGTGCAGGGTGCTGGAACACGGCGCAGTGAGCAAACGATGGACAGAGCGATGGCAGCAGCTGGGCTGGTTCCTCGATATTTATAGACATTCCCAAGAAAGTGGTGAGGAGTGAGCAGGCAGGCACTAAAAATGGCTGGGCAAGTGCCGAAAGCACAGCCTGGCTATGGGGTGCATGGTGAGGCTGACTGAGGCCAGGGTGGCAGGATGCCAGGGTGGTCTGGGGGACATCCCAGTGGGATCGGGAGCCTGTGTCTGGGGTACCAGGATACAGGTGTGTTGGGGAACCTGTCAGGGCACAACGGTGCCAGGGTATTGGGGTATCAAGACCCTGGGACACAGCGCCGAGCACGGGAGTGTGGAGCTCCTGCAGCCCCAGGGCAGATACCTGGGGCTCGGCCCGACCAGGACATCCCGGACAGGGGACAGAGGAACCGAGACCGGGAAGGGAGGGGTCGGTTCATAGACAGGGGCTGCGTGCGGCGCCGGGCTGAGCCCTGACCCGAGAGTCCCGGACGGTGCTGCAGGGACCGATCCCGATCTCGGCCGTGCCGGGCAGTGCCGGGAGAGTCGATCCCGATGGTGCCGGACTGTGCCGCAGGCTCCGATCCCGATCCCGGCCGTGCCGGGCGGTGCCGGCTCCG